GGTTAACAATAACATGCCCAAAGTTTCATTAAGTATCTTGTTCAAGTTCTCCCATCTGTGAAGGGGTGGAGCCGGATCCACAGGCAGCACTCTAGCCTGCACAGATACTATTTATCTAAGACTACACAGTAACTATGTGTAGGCCTCCTGGGAAGTGGGGACACATTTACAAATAAGAGTTTCTGTTTTCATGATGCTGATACTCCACTGTAGGATACAATTGATATAAAGTAAGTGGAATAGACAGTCTATTAAGTGTGTTCAGTAATAAACTTCAGCGGAAAAGAAGACCAGAAAAAGAGATGGGAGAACAGCAGTGACTGCAGTTTTTAAAAAAAGTTATTGAGGCAGACAGTGATGGAGAGCGAAGATCTTCCATCCACGGTTCACTCCCTAAATACCTCCAACAGCCAGGTCTGGGTCAGGCCAAAGGACATCAGAGCTACAAGGTGACAACGGCTGCAGTGAGCAGTCAGAGCTACAAGGTGACAAAGGCAGTGAGGACATCAGAGCTACAAGGTGACAAGGGCCAGCAGTGAGGACATCAGAGCTACAAGGTGACAATGGGTGCAGTGAGCACAGAGCTTTGAATTCAATCTGGGTCTCCCACATGGGTGGCAGGAGCCCCAGGATTTGGCCATTCTCTGCCCACTCCCAGGGTGTGCGTCAGCAGAAATGCTGCTGGATCCGAGGTGCAGAAGCCAAGCTGAGAACCAGGCACTCTGAGGGGGAGTTCAAAGTCACGCCCCAATCTCTGAGCCAACACCTGCCCTGACTGCGATTTTAAATCAGGTGGCAAAGCCAGGCATGAGCCGGCAGGCGGCACCTAAGCCAAGCCAAGGGGCGGTCGGGGGTCAGACGTGTGTCAATGTCTGGGGAGAGTTTCCGGCAGCAGGCATGGCCGAGAGCGAGCTGAGAAAGAGACCAAGTGGAAGAGCCTTCCAGGCACACTGGGTACCGCCAGGGAGGGCTGTGACAGCGTGTGCTCAGAACACCACGCAGAGTGACAGGACCAGAAGTGGGGCTGGGAAAGGACGGGCAGCTCCCCAACTCTGCAAGTGGGCTGTGAGCCAGCGAGAGACAGACATCAGGATCAGGTATGCCATCCAGGTGGCCGGCCCCAGCACAGAACGAATGGAGAGGCCTCCATTGGAGACAAGGACGACTGAAGGAGCGCATTGGGCCAGAGCCGGCGGCGTAGGTAACGTTTGCATGAAAGGGAGACACGAGTGTGAATCACGCACGTGGAAGGGGCTCTGAGATGCTGACCTAATGTCCCATCTGTGGGAGCCCTGCACTCCGCACCCAGCTCAGCTTCCTGCTAACAGGCACCGTGGGAGGCCACACCCTCCCACGCACACGAAATACCTGGACCGAGGCCCCAGCTCGCGGGCATCGAGAGTGGACCAGCAGGTGGCTGCTGTCTCTGCCTCAAGACCCAGAGAAGTGGCACCCTGCGCACTCTGCTGCAGCCCAGCCTGCCTGTTCACCCAACACCCTCTCCGGTCCTGCTCTCCGCAGACCGTCCCCGCCCCTTGACCCCGCCCCCTCACATCTTAGCCCCGCCCCCTCCACAGAGCACAGAATCGGCTGGCCCCGCCCCCGTAACACCGCCCTTCTCGCTGGGTCCCACCCTTGACCCCGCCCCGGGCCGCTAGGCCACGCCCCCATTCAGCTCCTGGCCACGCCCCTCCGTCGAGTACAGCATAGGGTGGCCCCGCCCCGTGACGTAAGGGCCCGCCCCCGCAGCCCCGCCTCGCCCCCCGCCTGCCCTCCCCCGGTCCCCCCCCCGGCCGCCCCGCTCCTCACCAACTCGAACCGGTTGTTGACTCGGACGCCCTCCTTCCCTGCGCCCCCAGGGCGCCGGCCACCCGGTTTCCGTTTTGGCCCTTCTTCCGCGTCATCGTCCTCACCGAGGTCGAACCGCAGGGCTTCGGGCCCGAGGGGTTCCTGGCCGCGCTGTTCCCCCCTCAGCCTCCGGAGGGCCCGGCGCGACATAGGACCCAACGGCCGCTGACGTCTGAAGAGAGAGAAGGAAGAGCAGAAGAGAGCGGGCGGCGCGCCTGCGCACACCCGGCGCGCTGGCGCGAGGCTGGCGTGTCGCGTCTGCGCGCTGCGGCTCGCCGGAACTTCCTGTCCACTCCAGCAGCGTCAGCGAAGGTGCAAGCGCTTCCGGGAGGGCTCTCGCGAGAAGTCGGCGCCCCAGCGCGGCGAGATCTGCCGGCAGGTGGAGGTGTTCCCGGCGCGGCTGCTGGTTCTGAGGCGGCCCGTACCCCTGTGGAGACCCTAGATCTGAGGGCGCAGGGTGACGCAGCGCGGGAGCCGAGGCCCACCTGCGGGAGTCCTCTCCGCCCGCCTCACGGGAGTCAGCGTCCCGGAGCCGGCGCCCCGCCTCCCGCAAGTGGGCCGAGCCGAAGCCGGCGCGGCCCCGGGACCTGGCGCTCGCTGTCGTGAACGCCGAGGGCGAGTCTCGCGGCTCGCCTCGCGGGGTTGCCCCGAGCGAGGACCCCGCCCCCGCCCCGGACTCTCGGTGGGGGCCGCGGCAGGGTTGCCGTGCGGCTCCCGACCGCAGAGGGGAGCGCCGGGCCAGGTGCTGTCCGCTCTGTCACAGGTGAAGAAAGTCAGAGGCCCGAGACGTGGGTGTGCGTTCAGGGCGAGTCGTGGCGCCTGCTCTCGGCTCTGAGCCCCAGCCCCAGCCCGGAGTTGGAGCGCTTCTCGGATGGGAGCTGAGCAGAGTGTGTGCGCACGGCGGGGCTTTAGGCTGCTTGTCAGTTTTGTGTCACCCGGGGCAGGTGGATGACCAAGTCACGTGGGCCTCTTGCCTGGCCTGCGCTGGCTACTTGGGGGATCCCAGTGTGTAGTGCAGAAGACGGAGGTGTGTACACAGTGAGAAGTGCATCGGGCCCAGCTTGCGCCGTGTCCTCCCTAATAAGCAGCTCCAGACAGGTTTCCCCTGCACTGCTGCAGGCCTGGCCCTCATCTAGGAGAGCGTGATTCTGAAGAGCCCGAGGCACCTGTCTCAAAACCTGGTAGATGAGGCCAAGGCAGGGCTTGGTTCCGTTGGCTGATTGTGCAGCTTCCTGTACCAGGGTTGGGGCAAGACAGAGCTCCCATCTACGGATGCCTGTGGCGGCCAGGACTGGGCTGGGCTGGAGCCCAGAGCCAGGAGCACAGTCCAGGCTTCCCAGGTGGTGGCATCTGCATCTGCAGAAGCTGGAGTAGGGAGGCAGAGCCAGCAACCAAACTGCGGCATCTGGCGCGGGGTCTGAGGCATCTGAGCCATTAGGCCAAATGCCGGCGCCACAGGGCTTGTCAGGAACCAGGAACTCCATTCAGGTCTACCTCATGAGAGGCAGGAACCCAAGTACTTGGCCATCATGGGTCAGAAATGTGAGGTAACCAGGGCTCAAACCAGCGTCTCCAATATGGGACGCAGGCACCCCAAGCAGTGGCTTAACCTTTTTTATTATTATTTTTATTTTAAGGATTTATTTATTTATTTATTTGAAAGGCAGAGTTACACAGGGTGAGAAGGAGAGGCAGAGAGAGAGAGAGAGGTCTTCCATCCACTGGTTCACTCCCTAGATGGCCACAAGGGCTGGAGCTGTACAGATCCAAGCCAGGAGCCTCCCCCAGGTCTCCCACACGGGTGCAGGGGCCCAAGGACTTGGGCCATCTTCTGCTGCTTTCCCAGGCCATAGCAGAGAGCTGGATTGGAAGTGGAACAGCCGGGACTCGAACTGGCGCACATGTGGGATGCTGGCACTGCAAGCGCGGCTCTACCCACTACACCACAGCGCCAGCCCCTGTTTTATTATTTTTATAATAGATATTATTTTTAAGAGAATGAAAGGGGCTAGCAGTGTGGTGTAGGAGATTAAACTGCTTCCTGCAACACAGGCATCCCATATGAGCACCAGTCCAGGTCCTGGCTGCTTCGCTTGAATTCTGATCCAGCTCCCTGCTAATACACCTAGGAAAGCAGCGGCAAGTGGCTCAAGTACTTGGGCCTTTGCCATCCACATGGGAGACTTGGATGGAGTTCTAGGTTCTTGGCTTTGGCCTGGTCCAGCCCCAGCTGTTGAAACCATTTGGGGAAGAAACTGGCAGATGGAAGATCTCTCTCTCTCTAATTCTACCTTTAAAATACAATTTTTCTTTTTCTAATTTGAATTTCCTGGACTCCAGCCAATGAAAAGCATTCTTTCCTGTAGCCCTGTTATAAATCATTGCAATGCACAGGCCTCACTGAGGTGTCAGCGTGTGGCCAAATTCCTTTACCTCATGAGCCTCTGCTTCCTCACCTGTCGGTGCAGTGGTGACAGAACTCACCTCCTGGGTCCTTGTGAGCAGGCAGAGCACTAGCAGGTGCTGCCAGTGTGGGTGACAGCCCAGACCAGCGTGACCAGGGACTTGCAGCTGGTAGAGGAGGCAGCTGGGGCTGTGTGGACCCGAGTAGGCCTTGGTGCTTCATGTCATGAGGGGCACCTTGACGGCTGAGCCCAGGTGGCCACTTGGCCCCAAGGGAAGGGGCCCAGTGCTATAGCTGGGCAAGTGCTATGTGCATACCTGAGATGGAAGACTGGGAGGTCACCTTTATTAGGCCAGTGCACAGGACTGCTTGCCTCTGTAGCTGGACCACCCAGTACCACCAGGGCCTTCTGGGCCAGCAGTGCGTGAGGTCAGCACCAGAGTGTAACAGGGCTGGGCCGGGCAGGGTGCCTGGGCTGTGGATGCCAGGCCAGGGTCTGAGAGCAGACAGCCTCGGGGACTTTGTGGGACACCTGGGAATCCATGTGTCCCATTCCAACTTGGAAGTGCGGCCAGGGAGAAGCTGCCATGGCAGTGGCGTCAGTGGGAGGAGACCCACGATCTAGAATCCTCTGTGCTCCCTCCTCAGTGAGAAAACCCGTTCCCCTGTTGTCTTCCCTGCCCCCTCCCCAAGGAATCTTGAGGGGCTGGGGTGAGCCTAGCCACAAATGAAAGCTGGAGACAATGTGTATAAATATAGGCTGTGTGTATATATTATATAAATGTATATGTGTATATATGTACATATATATGTACACGCGCAGCTCAGGAGCGTGGGAGGCAGCTGTGCCCCAGCACCCCAGGACCAAGCTGGGCTTCTGCCCGGGGGCCTGGCAGCCTGAGGCCATCACTTGAAGTCGAGAGCGCTGGTGTGAGCGATGTAGAGGGACTGGGTCTGGCGGCTGCGGCGTGGCGTAGTGTTGAGGACGTCCACACTCTTGCGGCTGGAGCGCACCACATCGGCCACAAAGCTGGTGCAGTCACTGCAGACATCCTTCAGGACGCAGCCGTGAGTGTAGATGTGGGGGAACTCCTCCTCCACGCTCCGCCACTGTGGGCCCTGCAGAGACCTGGACAGGGCAGACGGGAGAGGGCCGTCACGGAGAGGAGCCAAGCCCACGCCCCTTCCCAGGTCCCCATTCTCTCCTTCGGCAGGCATCCACATCAACTCTTGGAATGAATGTGCCTCGCACAGTTCGTCCCAGTAGAGGCTCTCCCTTGACGGGAACGTGAGTCCTGGGCCCTGCCCCTCCGTCTCCCATCACCCAGAGCCCTCATGATCTGTCTCAAAACGATGGCCAAGGAGTTCCATTTCTTTGGGAATGCCCCTTCAGGCAGACGAGTCCAGCCCTCATCGCCCGAGTGCCCACATCACCATGAAAACCTGCCCATCAAGGCCACACGGGCACATAGCAAAGGAGAACGCACTGGAAGACGTCTCGCCTCTGTGTCGGCCAGGCTTTGGCAGTCGACGCCCTCTGAGAACTCTCAAAGCCCAGTGTGTACACAGGGATGTGTGCAAACTTCTTGGAAGGCATCTTCATCTGCAACACAAAAGACAGGTGGACAAGACACCCTCCCACAGCAGTCCAGCTGCACACCCGTCCCCCGGCCCTGAGGCCGGACTGCTGGCCACCCTCCACTCTGATGCGTATTCCTGTTTGCTCACTGAACACCCAGCTGAATTTCCTGCTCATCCAGGCAGGGATTCCTAGGGAGCAGGCACTGTGCCTCTGTGTAGCACACAGGTTATGGCGTCATACCCTGCGCTCAATCATGTAACACTGCTGAGGGGTCAGTTTTCCTTTTCAGGAGTCAGGATGCAAAGCAGGGATCGTGGTGGTAGATGCCCCTCTGAAGCCGAGTCCTGCTTGTGAACTGAAGTGCACGGCTGACACACACTGAAGTGCTGTTATCCATCACCTCTGAGCACCTCTGCGCTCAAGCATCCCCCAACAGCAACAGCCAAGGATGTGGCAGAGCACCCAAAGGCATGAGCCTCCTGACATGGAATGTTAAAAAGGTGGGGAGGAGCAGCGTCGTGGCACAGCAGGTTAAGCTGCCACTGGTTTAGGTCCTGGCTGCTCCACTTCTGATCCAGCTGCCAGCTAATGTGCCTGGGCAAGCAGCAGAAGATGGCCCAAGTCCTTGGGCCCCTGCACCTCTGTGGGAGACAAGGGTGGAGTTCTGGGCTCTTGGCTTTGGCCCAGCCCAGCCCCAGCCATTGCAGCCATTTGAGGAATGAACTAGTAGATGGAATCTCTCTCTGTGTCACTACCTTTCAAATAAATAACTCTTGAAAAACAAAATACATACGAGGTCTTTAAAGACTGCAGTCTTAGAAAGTTTAGGGAAGGGGGAGGGAGGAGGTGATGGATGTGGAGCCTGGCGAGGAGTGAGGTGTGTGATCCCCTGTCCCACCTCATCAGATCCCAGAGATCCCCAAGATCCTTACCTTTATGCTACAGGAAGTGCAGACAGCTCTGGAAGGGAAGGGAGGAGGCAGCGTCAGTGTGCAGAGGCGGCGCCCTGTGCCCTCACGCATCCTGGCCCAAACCGTCCTTGCCCTCTGCCTGGCCCCTGGAGGATCTGGGGAAACAGTCCCCCACGCCCCCGAGCTGTGTGTGCCTGGCTCTGAGCACAGGAACGCCAGTGATGCCCACAGGCCCAGGGAGTGGCTTCCTTCTAGCAGCAATGGACATTTTCCGTTCCCACACACGATTTCAAAAGGAGACGCCTTCTTGTAAAAACTGAAACATTAGACGATGAGTCGGATGGTCCTGGCCAGCAATGCACATAACTTTAGGGTAAAAGGAGGCAATAGGCATGCCGTGCTATAAAGATACATCTGGGGCTGAAGTTGTCCAGAGGTTTTCTAAAACGAATAACCATGTTCTGCGTGAGTGACCTACAATTTTCTATCAGCAAACCCGGGAGTTCATTTTATTTCAGTGTGGTCAGAGAACTTACTTTATATGACTTGAATCCTTTTCTGTTTATGGAGACTTTTTTATGGCCCCAATATAGGCTATCTTGGCGAATGTTCTGTGTACACGGGAGAAGAATGTGTAGTCTGCTGTTGCTGAGTAGGCGGTTCCACAAATATCGAGTTGTCTAATCCTGCTGCTCAAATATTCTGTAAACTTTCTCTCTGCCTGCTAGTTTGATCAACCGTTAAGAGAAAAGTACTAAAATCTCTAACTGGATTTATCTATTTTTCCTTGCAGTTCTGTCCTTTTTGCTTCGTGTATTTGGACTCTTACTAGGTTTTAGTTTAGGCTTATTTCCCCCTTCTTATGAAATAAACTGATTTATATCTGGTAATATTCTTGCTCTGTATACCTGCACCAATGCTAGCTTTCTCGGACTGGTTTTAGTGCGGGTTATTTTGTCCTTCACCTTGCTGACCCATGGGTCTTTATATTTGAAGTACACATCTAGGGGCTGGTATTGTAGTGCGGTGGGTTAAGCCATTGCCTGTGACAGATGCTGGCATCCCCTCATGGAGGGCTTGCTCCAATCCTGGCTCCTCTACTTCTTTTTTTTTTTTTTTTTTTTTTGATAGGCAGAGTTAAACAGTAAGAGAGAGAGAAAGGTCTTCCTTTCTCTGTTGGTTCACCTCCCAAATGGCCGCCATGGCCGGCAAATTGCGCCGATCCAAAGCCAGGAGCCAGGTGCTTCTCCTGGTATCCCATGCGGATGCAGGCGCCCAAGCACTTGGGCCATCCTCCACTGCCTTCCCGGGCCACAGCAGAGAGCTGGACTGGAAGAGGAGCAACCGGGACAGAATCTGGCACCCCGACCAGGACTAGAACCCGGGGTGCTGGCGCCGCAGGTGGAGGATTAGCCTAGTGAGCCGCGGAGCTGGCCTCCTCTACTTCTTACCCAGCTTCCTGCTAATGAGCCAAATAAGACAGCAGATGATGGCCCCAGTACCACAGACCTGGATGGAGTTTCTAGCTCGTGGCTTCAGCCTGGCTTAGTCTTGGCTAATGCAGCCATTTGGGGAGTGAATCAGCAGGTAGAAGATTAATCTCTCTCTTTCTTTCTCTATGATCTGCCTTTCAGATAAATAATCTTTAAAAGTTTATTGAGGCCGTCACCTGTGGCTCACTTGGTTAATCCTCCGCCTGTGGCGCCGGCATCCCATGTGGGCGCTGGGTTCTAGTCCTGGTTGCTCCTCTTCCAGTCCAGCTCTCTGCTGTGGCCCGGGAGTGCAGTGGAGGATGGCCCAAGTGCTTGGGCCCTGCACCCGAATGGGAGACCAGGAGGAAGCACCTGCCTCCTGGCTTCGGATCGGCACAGCTCCGGCCATAGCAGCCATTTAGGGGGTAAACCAATGGAAGGAAGACCTTTCTCTCTGTCTTTCTCACTGTCTAACTCTGCCTGTCAAAAAAAAAGTTTATTGAAAAAAATAAAGTACATGCCTTGTAGATGGCAGATAGTTGGGTCTTGCTTTTTCTTTAAACATAATTTATGTACATGTTGATCTGTTTGGAAGACAGACCGCTAGGCTCACATCCCCTCTGGGCCATGCCAGGCCCCAAAGAACTCAAGGTCATTCTCTCGTGTGGGTGGTGGGGCTCCACCGTCTGAGAGCAGGCTCTCCTGCCGGCCCTCAGGGTGCACAGCAGGGGCAGTGGACCAGGACTGAACTCCAGGTCCACGGGGAGGGGATGCAGGCGTCCCTGCCGGGCTCTCAGCTGCCCCGCAGCGGTCAGTCTGTGACTCTCTGCCTTTTAACTAGGCTGCTGTGGCGACTGACAGTTGTGCCTGAGTGTCTGCCTGCCTGTGCTCTGCTCCCCATCTGGTTCTGTTTTTTTCCAGATCACAACTCTTTTATGATTCCATCTTATCTGCTTTGTTGCCTTAATTCACTCTCTCTCTGTATTTAGTTGTTGCTTCAGGGCTGCGGTAACACAGTCTACCTCCAAGTCATGAGCATAGCAGCCGTGCGCAGTCCCAGTGGTATCGTGTTTTACTTCCACACGCTCCAAACCCCACAGCACGTTGGCACTAATTTTGGCTTGCTTTTGGCATGCCCGGGGGTCTGTGACAGGGGCCAGCCACGCTGACCGCTCGCACTGCGTGTCTTTATTCCCTAGCCTTTGCTTTGCTCGGGCAGGAAAGCAGGGTAACCGGGACACGTCAGTCCTTTGAGGTCTTGTTTCACGACGTGCCAGCAGGGCCTGGAGCAGAGCTCAGCCTGGGCCACTCACCCCCCGCCCGGTGTGCCTCCCACTCGGTGCCCGTGGGTTTCATCTCAGCTGTGGCTGATGGACACCAGGTGACTCCGGTCCTTTCCATCTTTAGCACAGGCGGAGGAAGCTCAGAGGAGCGAAGGGTCAGGTACGAAACGCTCGGACAGGTCACTGGCCTGCGGACTGCAGCTCGTCGAGCTCTGTTTTAGGCCGATGTTGCCCCTGGCACGGTGCACTCAAAGCGCAAGGAGGGCCTTCTCTGAGGCAGGTCCCCGGGGTCCTCTGTGCCCGTCTCTGGACGCTGCACCGAGAGCTCCCCTGCTCAGTCTGCACAGTCCGCCCACCTGGAAGCCCTCGGCTCCCTCGGCAGGCTCTCTCCAGTGTCTTGAAAACCACGGTTCCACATCCTTTGTTGTCCCATTTTTGGCTGTTTCGATGGAGTATGTCTACTCTCTTGACTCAAGCTATTTAAACAGATTTCTTAATTCCACACCTTTAAGGAATCAATGGTCATGTACATAGACCCAGGAAGCCTATTGGTCAGGTCTGCCCTGGGCTAAAGGCATCTTACCTCCTGTCCACAATAACTGGTAGCCCAGGTGCTACGGGAGGCTCACCTCTTGCAGAAGAGACAGGTGGGGGGCCACGAGAACAGGGGGAACTTGGCTCGGCAGCAACAGCAGACCTGGGAGGAAATGCCCCGCTAGAGCCGACTCCACCCAGAGCGCGGGCGTGGGGGTTGCAGCCTCGCCCCTTGCCCCTGCCCAGGCTCCCGACCAGCAGGGCGAGTGGCAGCGCTGGCCCTCACCTTCCCCTTCTTCAGACTGCTGAAGAGCTCCCTGTCCTGCAGGAACTTCTCCATCTCCGCCTTGACAAGCACGCGGCGCACGTCCATCACCTCCTCCACCGTCAGGGCCAGGCTCTCCACGGGGTGGCTGAACTCCTGGGAGGGACATCCAGGGGATGAGTCTCGCTCCTTCTGGACCCCCGTCCAAGCAGTCTGGCGACGTCCCGGAACACCGGGGCCTCCGTGCATTTGCCCTGGGGCCAAGCAGGCTCCGGTTTCTCTGAGGAGGCCTCTGCTGCTGCCTGCCCTGTCCAGCCTTCCCCAGCCCTTGCTGACCACATCACCCTGTGCTCCCCACCTGCAAGCACCAAAGTCCATCTCAAATCTCGGCTCCTCCCAGAGGCCCAGGAGCCCTGTCCTCGCGAGCGGCTGACCTCTCTCTCCTTGAGACTTCACGGCACTTAGTCTGCCCACCTGTCTCCTGGGTCCTGGTTTCACCTCCCAGTGCGTAGCATGGAACTTGACATGCCCTCTCTAAGCCTCAGTTTTTCTCCTGTACACCAGGGCTGTTACTGGAAAGCCCCTCCCACAGTGTGGATCTCCAACTGCGCCACCGCTGCCGGGGCACTGCCTATGAGGGACCACGGACGTCATTTTCCCGCTCAGTTTTGTGGGGTGCTGGCACCGCACGGACTAGGGCCCCCGCATGCCTCCACTCTGACCTGAGGTGCCAGTTTCTGTTGCCTGGCGGATGGTGCGATGTGCACTTGAACAGTCCCTCTACACTTGGCAGATGTTAACTGAGTGCAGAGAGACCAGCAGCCTGCCCCTCAGATAAGGCCTCAGTCCACCACGTTCAAGGTGGACTGAAGGCCGCAGGGTCTCAGACTGCCACAGTCAGACCTTACAGAAAGCATTTTAGACTTGTGGTCATTTTATTTATTTTGAAAAGATTTTTCAACTTAATATTTGAGAGGTTGAGTGACAGGAGGGTGGGTGGGAAGAGGAAAAGGAGGAGGAAGGATCTCCCATTCACTGATTCATTCCCTAGAGACCCACAGAAGCCAGGGCTGGGTCAGGCCGAAGCCAGGAGACAGGGATTCCACCCAGGCCTCCTTTGTGGGTGGCAGGAATCCGAGTACTTGGGCCATTGCCTGCTGCCTCCCGGGGGCATTAGCTAGAAGGCAGATCAGAAGCCTGGGGCAGCCGGGACTTGAACTGGCCCTCTGCTATGAGATGCCAGTGTCCTAAGCAGCACTTAATCTGCTGCGCCACAATGCCTGTCTGTCTTGGGATGATTTTCAAACGTGTCCCGATTCCTTCACCAAGATGTGGGCCTTGATTCCCCTCCCTCTGAGAAGGGGCTGGACTTAGCAAACCACTCACGAGGAGACAGCGTGGCTTCTACCTCGCTGGGATGGCAGCTCCCGCCGACTTTGTAACTGCAGCCCCTGAGAGACCAGAGCTGGGACCACCCCGGCTAGGCCACTGCTGGATTCCCAGCCCTCAGAAACCACAGGAGGTGGTACACACCTGCCATTCTGACTGTGAGGTCCTTTCACACAGCAGTGTGTAACTAGCCCAGGACTATGAGGGCAAGCACCCCTTCAGGAGGAGAGCTCTGACAAGCACATTGCAACAAGCCCCACACCCCGCTGTGGCTCACTTGACAAAATCCCACACAGAGGGTGGTGCTGTGGCATCCTCCTGCAGTGCCGGCACCTTACACAGGCACCAGTTCAAATCCCGGAGAGTCCACTTCCAATGCCGCTCTCTGCTGTGGTCTGGGGAAGCAGTGGAAGATGACCCAAGTGCTTGGGCCCCTGCACCCGCATGGGAGACCTGGAAGAAACTCCTGGCTCCTGGTGTCACATCGGGCCAGCTCCAGCTATTGCAGCCATTTGGGGAGTGAACCAGCGGATGGAAGACCTCTCTCTATCACTCTGCCTCTCAATAAATAAAAAACTCTTAAAAATATATATATATCCTGGGGCCAGCGCTGTGGCGCAGTAGGTAAATGCCTTGGCCTGAAGTGCCGGCATCCCATAAGGCACTGGTTTGAGACCCGACTGCTCTACTTCTTTTTTTTTTTTTTTTTTTTTGACAGGCAGAGTGGACAGTGAGAAAGAGATAGAGAGAAAGGTCTTCCTTTGCCGTTGGTTCACCCTCCAATGGCCGCCGCGGCTGGTGTGCTGCGGCCGGCGCACCGCGCTGATCCAATGGCAGGAGCCAGGTACTTATCCTGGTCTCCCATGGGGTGCAGGGCCCAAGCATTTGGGCCATCCTCCACTGCACTCCCTGGCCACAGCAGAGAGCTGGCCTGGAAGAGGGGCAACCGGGACAGAATCCGGCGCCCCGACCGGGACAGAACCTGGTGTGCCGGCGCCAGCAAGGCGGAGGATTAGCCTAGTGAGCTGCGGCGCCGGCTGCTCCACTTCTGATCCAGCTCTCTGCTGTGGCCTGGGAAAGCAGTAGAAGATGGCCCAAGATCTTGGGCCCCTGTACCCGCGTGGGAGACCTGGAAGAAGCTCCCAGCTCCTGGCTCCTGGCTTTGGATCGGTGCAGCTGTGGCCGTTGCGGCCAACTGGGGAGTGAACCATCGGATGGAAGACCTCTTTCTCTCTCTCTCTGCGTCTCCTCTCTCTGTGTAATTCTGACTTTCAAATAAATAAATAAATCTTTAAAAAAATATCCTACAGAGAAACCCAGGTCTCGGCCAGGGCCACCAGAGACCAGCAAGTGTCAGGTCTTCACAATCGCCAGTTAGACAAAATCCCCAGCTGATGAAACTGAGGTGCAGAGAAGCCCAGCACCACGAGCGGCAGAGTCCTGACCCAATAGAATGCTCCTGCTGAGCTCAAAGCACAGGGCTTCAGCCTGCAGGGTCACCCTTCCCTGGCTGCGGGGCCACAGTGCCCCAGCAGGTGGCAGCAGAGACCAACCTCACGGCAGACTGGTGCCCAGCTGTGCCCCTGGGCCCTGGGCAACGTGCCCACTGCTCACCAGCCACAGGTGTTTGGCATCTGGTCTGTCCTCCTCTGGGCCCCTGAGTTGGGGGGAGCTGGAATCAGGCAGGGACTGGACATTCACAGATGGGGAATCTGGAGAAAGAGCACAGGCCCTGTGAGGAGTGTGGGTGAGAAAATGGACAACGCAGACAGTGGGCAGTTCCATGGCGGGGTGGGTAGATAGCCAAGCCAAAGGTCAAGGGGAAGTGGGTCAGGGACCCTGCAGTTGAGTGAGCTCCATCAGTGACCCAACACTAGGAGTCCCAGTGCACAGCAGGCCTTGCCAAGCTCCACGGATGCACCACACAGAGACCCTCTCCTCCACGGCCGCACTCACACTGGAGGCCAAGAGGACAGAGAGGGAAAGAGGTACATGCACTTTTGCGCCCAGCTATCTGGGAATCCCAGACAGCTAGGGGAAGCAGGTAGCCTGGGGCAAGAGTGAGGTTCGGAACTGGCCTGGTCTGGACCCCTCAGCACTGGAAAGTGGGTCCCAGCTGCTGGACAGATTCATCCTGAGAGAGGCCACAAGGCTACAGGGCTACCAAGGGGCTCTGCAGGCCGACAAGGAGGTCTGGCCGTGACCCCGTGGGGAGCACAGCCCTGTTCTGGGGGGAGAGCTCAGCGCACGGTGCTGCTCCAGGAAGGGCAGGCTCTGGAGCCACGTGGGCTGCACGAGCCCACCCACCCCGCAGCAGGACCCAGGTTTCCTCTCAGGAGGGCAGGAGAGGCCCGGCTGGCATCTGTGCCCCAGCATGTTGATCACAACTGTCCAGTATTCAAGTCAGGGGAATTCAAGTTTTGAAAGCATGCTTCACAGGGAATATGACTACTTATCTAACAAAACAAGTTTTCACATAAAGAGGGGTGCCTGTGTGAGGGACACTTCATACGGCCTTCTTACCCAGGAGGGCCGAGGGACGCAGCGCCACGCGAGGGGCCCGAGGGAGGGGGCAGCAGGGGGAGGCAGCACTTGCCCTGGTCTCGGCTGCGGGGCCTCCAGGAGTGCACACTGCCCGCCCGGGGCCGGCTCAGCTCCACGCCTCCGGGGGGCTGGGGAGCCGGCTGCAGGCCAGAGGCCACCTCGCTCCGGAGCTGGGCCAGGTCATGCTCTGAGAAAGAGCGATCCCGCTTCAGCGTCACCTCTCCACACGGAGACTCTTCCTCCTGCAGACACACCACACACAGCCCAGCGCTGACCACCCAGTCTCCTGCCCGTGCCCACACTGAGCAACGGGGGTACTGCTGGCTTGCCAAGGCCCGACTGGCCTCCACTCACTGCTGGCCCCACCGTCTCCCAGATGGGTCACAGCCGTGGCTCAATAACCAAACCTTTCCCCAGACCTTCTGCAAAGTCCTGGAGAGGAAAGGCTTGGTGCAGACAGAGGCTGAGCCACAGAGACAGCCACCACCAATGGCCGCCACTCAGGACCACCATGCTCAGAGGGATGGGCCTTCATGGGGACCAGTTCTCTATGGAGGAGGGGGCTGCTCAGCTACCTTGCCACAAGGGGATGGGTCACTTTCCTGTCACACTTTTTTTTCTTTTTGGTGTGGGAAGAGGTAGCCCAAAGCCACTGTCATGACAAGGAAGGGTCCCTGAGCCCCAAGCCTACTCACAGGATGGTTGCAACCACATGGGACTCCATTGTCCAAGGAAGGGCTGCTGGCCTGCAGCTCTGCCAGCCCCTAGCCGCAGCCTTGGGCAGCGGTGCCCATTCGGCCATGAGCTGCTCCCAGCCTCTGCTCGGGCCCTCCTCACCTCCTTGCCCTCTTGTCCTCCCTCGCCCAGGTTTTAAGGAGCCCAGTGGGCACTGACCTCTGACGTGTTCATCTCTTCCATCTCGGCCAAGGTGGGTGCCTTGAGGAGCACTCGGGGCCGCGGGCGCTGGGTGCTGCTCCCAGCTTCCATGTTAGACAGATTGATGCAGGAGGTGGACTTGACATCGCCGGAGCAGGCATTGAGGATGCAGGGCAGAGAGCCGAACCCTGGCAGGAGTGAGGGTGGGCGGTGAGCGTGCAGCCCTGGGGTGGAGTGGGAGTGGACAGAGCCGAACCCTGGCAGAAGTGGGGTGGGCAGTAAGCGTGCAGCCCTGGGGTAGAGATGGACAGAGAACTGAACCCTGGCTGGGATGGGAGTGGGCAGAGAGCCGAACCCTGGCAGGAGTGAGGGTGGGCGGTGAGTGTGCAGCCCTGGGGTGGAGTGGGAGTGGGTGGTGAGTGTGCAGCCTTGGGGCAGATGTAGGCAGAGAACCGAACCCTGGCCATGGTGGGAGTGGGCAGAGAGCCGAACCCTGGCCATGGTGGGAGTGGGCAGAGAGCCGAACCCTGGCCATGGTGGGAGTGGGCAGAGAGCCGAACCCTGGCAGGGGCTGGGCTGGGCAGTGAGCGTGCAGCCTCAGAAGGGGGTGGGGGTGGGGGTGGGAGTGAGCAGAGAGCCAAACCCTGGCAATGAGTGTACAGCTCTGGGGTGGAGGTGGGCAGAGAACCAAACCCTGGCCGGAATGGGAGTGGGCAGAAAGCCGAATCCTGGAGGGAGTAGGGGTGAATGGTGAGCACGCAGCCTGGGGAGGGGGTGGGTGTGGGTGTGGGTGGTAAGTGTGCAGCCTGGGGTGGGACTGGGCAGAGAACTGAACCCTAGCAGGGGTGAGGGTGGGTGGTGAATGTGCAGCCCGGGTTGGAGGACCAGGGAGGGCCCTGACAGCTTCATGGGCACTGCCTTGCTTAGTTCACACCTTACAGAAGGGGAAGCTGAGCGCTGACCACTGAGCAGTAAGAGGCTTCCACCCGAAGACCCACCTAGGCTGTTAGCAGGAGGAGGAGGAGGAGGCCTCAGACGCTGAACAAATGCGTCTTCCTCCACTTAAAAACTGGTTTTATTTTCCTCCTAAGTATCAAAATTTGTCACATCATTGTGAAAAAAAAAATGTGAAATGGCAAATGGGATGAAAGGCAAGACGCAGACATAGGACGCAAGCCTCCACGTGGAACCTCCCACGGCTGGCCCCAGGTCCTGATTTGCAGCCGGACCAGGACAAGAGGGATCTCAGCCCCCCACCGTCCCCGGCTCACCACGGGCCCCCCAGCGTGGGCCCCCGACGGGGCGCAGCCTGTGTTCCTGCTTGATCTCCTCCAGGATCTTCTCGTGCAGGGTCCTCTGCTTCTGCGGAAGCGGGCGAAGCCTTCTCTCCGACACCTGTGTGGCCAGGGGGCTGCTGGGAGGCCAGGCATGCCAAGCAGGCCCACAGGAGGGAGTGGGACCCCCAGTGGGCTCTGTGTGCACCTGGGGTGGGGGGTGGGGTGTCCTCGCGGTGCTTCCCAGAAGGGCGAGGGCCCAGGGCTACACTGTGTGGGCCAGGGCCAGGGCCCAGTCCAGTCAGCAGGCAAGAGAGGACCAAGCTGCCTGGACCCAGCTGCGTCCAGAAAGCTCCTGGGTGGACTCCAGGAGAGCCCTCACCTGCTTCAGTGGAGGCCGGGAGCGGATGAAGTCCAGGATGAGCTCGTGGGCATCCTTCTTCACCCTGGGAGGGATGTCCCCGTCAACCTGCAGGGAGACAGGAAGGTGGCTCCCGCTGCAGGGGCTGTGTGCTGGTGCCCAGGTGCCCTGACCACAGCCTGGTCCTCACCCCAAATCCCCTCCCGGGCTCTGATCCCCGTGACCCCTCCGCCTTCTGCACAGGTGCACTGTGCAGCCACACTCCAGCCACACGGTGACGCGGCTGCAGCATCCCGGGTCTGGTGGTGCCCCTGCCGGCACTGGGCTTCTGGGACGGCCACACTCCAGCCACACGGTGACGCGGCTGCAGCATCCCGGGTCTGGTGATGCCCCTGCCGGCACTGGGCTTCCGGGACGGCCACACTCCAGCCACACGGTGACGCGGCTGCAGCATCCCGGGTCTGGTGATGCCCCTGCCGGCACTGGGCTTCCGGGACGGCCACACTCCAGCCACACGGTGACGCGGCTGCAGCATCCCGGGTCTGGTGATGCCCCTGCCAGCACTGGGCTTCCGGGACAGCCACACTCCAGCCACACGGTGACGCGGCTGCAGCATCCCGGGTCTGGTGATGCCCCTGCCGGCACTGGGCTTCCGGGACCTCAGATTCCTCTGGAAAAGGGTCTGTCGTAGATGCCATGAACTTGGCATGCACGATTCTAAGTGGCACGAGCGCTCAGGAGGTGGCACAGTGTGTCCCAGAGGAGAGACCCTGGGGCCCTGGCTCCTGTGCGGCCTCCTCTGGGGCCGTTCCTGATTCTCCAGGATCTTCTCCCTCCCCTTCCCTGCCATCCATACACTGACCCTGAGCCGTGGGAACCGAGGGCTGCGTCTGCCTCCTTCACACCCTGGCCCAGGCTGGGCTCAGCACCCAGCACCAGGAGCGGGGCGTCTTGGAGCTGCTGTGGGACCGAGAGGGGGCGGAGCGCTGCTGAGCTCACCATGACCTTTCGCAGCTTGTAGTTCCTGGCACGGATGTCCTGCATCAGCATCTCGAAGGGCGTCAGCTGGAACTCGGTGGGGAGGGGGTTGAACTCCTGCTCCTCCACCTTCTTGAGCTTCACCCCGTGGCGCAGCTCCCGCATGAGCTGCACCCACAGCCGAGCCTGGGCCCAGGGGGACGGAGAGGGCCCTCAGGCACAGGCACAGACCCCCGGGGCACCCCACGTCAGGAGGGAACCCGCTTACCCAGTCTGTGCGCCCCAGGTCGTCGAGTTCCACCAGCGGCTTTTCCACCTGCGGCTCGTCCTCCCCGAGCTTCTGCAGCATCTAGGACACACCCCTGGTCAGTCCTGAACGTGGAGCAGCAGACCGCACGCTGTGCCCAGGAACACTTGATCACGCTTAGGCTACCAGGCAGCCAGCTAAAAAGGGGGCCAGCGGGCACGTGGGCTCGGCCTGGGTGTTCAGGCAGACATTTGAGGAACTCAAGAGACCAGGCTGGAGCCATCAGTGCACACTATGTCCACACCTGCCCAGGACACTGTCAGAGGGTAGCGGTGGACAGGAGCCTGACACCCACAGGGCACCCATGTGGCGCCGTCTCCCAACTGACGCAGCAGGCGCAGGTGTGTGTCTCACTCACAGCGCTGTCTCAGGAGCACCTAGGCAGGCCAAGTGTCCACCTATGATCCCAGCTTCAGTCTTACACTTTGCTGCTTCTTTTTTTAAAAAAAAAAAATTTACTTGTTTATTTGAAAGAGCAGGCAGAGAGAGAGAGAGAGAGAGAGAGAGAGAGAGAGAGACATCTTCCACCTGCTGTTTCACTCTCCCCAAATGCCTCCAACAGCCAGGGCCGGGCAGGCCAAAGCCAGAAACGCCTTCTGGGAGTTTCGGATACCTAAGTATCTGAGCCATCCCTGCCGCCTCCCAGGGTGCGCATGGGCAGGCAGCTGGACGGGAAGCTTGACCACAGAGACCCTGATGTGGGGTGTGGGCGCCCCGGGTGGCAGTTTAACCCCATCCCTAGCTGCTGCTTGGAGTCACAGCTAGGACCCAGTGAGCACAGTGTAGCTCACGCTTGGTCCCCAAGACTGGGTGAATGAACCAGTGGGTGGGGGTCTGAGTGAGCACATCCTGTAGACACGGGTGTGAGCCGCGCGAGCTGAGAAAAATGCTGACGTCAGGGTGAGAACTCGGGGACGATGACAGGGACAGCCATTCTCTCCTGAGGCCTGGGCAGGATGCTGGCGCTCAGGAGAGCCAGGGCCCGTCTCTCACTAACTCCTCCATGCTCGTTGGCACACGGCAGTACCACCACCCCAGGCAGAACCGGCTATCCTGCTGTCCTGGCTTTTCACCTCGAGCTGCTACTTGCCAAAGCACTGCCAACTCTGAGGGCACAGGCGTGATTCTGCTAGTAGTCCAGTGTGTGCCCTGGCCAGTCTGTGGGCAGGGCTAGCTGTCCCTCCTGAGCGGGCTAGCCCGTCCAGCTGCGCCCAGCTGCAGACCTTTTTCTCCATCCCTACTACAAATTCCCGGAGCGTCTCCTGGGCCGACGGACGGCCCCTGCGGAAGGGTGGGCTTCCACTGTCCAGACAGCAAGCCTCAGAGCAAAAGGCAGACTGAGTTCAGAGGAAGACAAGAGCACCACCAGCGCCTGCGAATCCTGGGGAGGGAAGGAAACTGCTCATCTTGGCACGTGACTGGGTTACAGGTGCGTGCCAGCCAGGCCCACCCCAGAGACCCCCCAGGGTCACTCCTGGTGAGGGAAGGGGGCACAGTCCCACCGATCAGGAGCCAGCCTCACCTTCGAGACCTTCAGCACCTGAGCGAGACAGGGAAGTACACCTTGCCCCCGACCCCCACGCCATGCTTCATGCCCTCATCTGGGAGGTGCACACCCACCTTGGAGCAGCACCGACTCCCCCGGGAGAGGCTGAGACCTCTGACCCCTGACTCCAGGTCCCTGAAGAGGCAGGCAGTTCGCTGGCCCACATCAGCTAGGGCTTCAGGCAGGGGACCCAACCCAGCAGAGCCTGCACTCGCTCCTCGGTAAGACCATCTCAGAGGGGTGGTGTGAGCACAGGGGCCACAAATGCGAGCACGGTTCTCTCACTGGCTGCACACCAGCCCCGAGTCTGTCCTGAGCAGTCAGACAGCTGCCTTCAGCACAGTACTTCCAGAAAGAGCTGGGACCAGGAGGCAGCAGGCAGCCCCCTCTGCAGACGAGAGAAAGCAGCGGGCAACGTGACCACTTAGGGGCTGGGGGTCAATCACTACTGCCTGGGTTCAGTTTCCTTCAGTGAAAAGGTGGGAGAGTTAGATCACAGCCTACCGAGAGCCTGGGCCCTGAAACTGTGCCCAGGACACAGCAGAGGGCTGCCTGCCCCTACACCTCCTTGTTCATGCCCTGGCCCTTCCCACCTCCTGTGACCCCCACACCCCTCTCACCTCCTTGGCCTCCCGGACTCGGGCCAGGAAGGCACGCAGCTCCAGGGTCTCCACGAAGAGGGCTCGGCACACGGCCTGGTAGTGGGCTTGGGCGCCCCGAGGGTCGGTCAGCCGGGCAGCGCACAGCCGCATGGCCTGGGCGAAGGTGCGCACGACCCGGGGGCCGCCCTCGGACTCCTCCTCCTCCTCGGGACCTCCGTAGCCCTCGTCGGCAGCCCCGCAGCTGGCGTCCTCGCAGTCGCTGTTGGCCATGAGGTCGATGAGCCGCTCCAGCTGCGGGCTGAGCTCCCGCTCTTCAGTGTCGTCCAGCCCCCAGTCCAGCGCGCGGTAGATGGCGAAGCCCAGCGACTGCACCATCTGCGGGACGAAGGCGGGATGCACGGGGAAGTCACCAGGGGGCGCTGGGGCGGCGGCAGCCAGAGCCAGTGCCAGGTGGGGAAGGCCGCAAGGGGCTGGAAACATGGAGCCCCGCTAGGAGGCATCCCCAACCCCCAACAGCAAGGTCCCTCTGGGAGGTAATGGCTGATTATTGCCATGTAAAAATGCATGCAGGGCATGGCTCAGCACCTCCCCTCCCGGCTGCTGGACTGAGTGAGGCGAGAAAATGCATCCACACTTGTCCCCGACGCACCGCAACCCCGGCCTGGGAACCACCAAAGTACTCAAGTGGTGGACGTGACCCTGCCACCTGCTCCCAGGAGAACACTGCAGAGCAGGAGGGAAAAGCGTGGACCCCAGGCGTGAGTCGCCAGCCTGCTGGAGCACCGCGGTTGTCTAGGGGAGACCCTACACTCAGCAGCAGGGGTCGGTGCTGCCGGGCTGGGGGCGGGGCAGGGCTCGCTCCAAGGGGATGGCTGAGAGGGCCATGTCTCGGTCGTGCGCTGGGGACGCAGCACTCCATTGGGCCACCCACCTAAATCGTACGTGTTTCACTGTGTGTGACAGCTTTCCTAGGAAGAACCCATCTCCACGTCAGACCTCGTCCTAGCTGCTAGACCACCCGGAAGGTAACACCCGTCATTGTCGTGACCTAACAGCATCATTTACACCAGAGGAGGAAAGTGGCCAGTTTAATCGCTGCTGCTGTGGGACCCACTTGACGTCCGTGATAGAATTTGGCACTTCTGTTTCACAGGGAAGGGGACAGAGGCACGCAGAGGGTGGACCACCCGCTCCGGGGCATGACGAGCCACACCCTCATCTAGATCCACCTTACCCAGGTGGCGGGGGGTGGGGTGGGGTGGGGGTGTCCTTTGACCTCTCATTTCCTGTGCACCTGTAACTGTAGGAGGCTACATCTTCCTGTCCCCCTTCACATTCTGATGAGCAAAAGTTATCTGCTGATTCAGATGACTAATGTGAATTCAGCACACAAATGATATGTAGGAATTCCAGAGACTACAGGAAAACTGCTAGAATCACAAGATCTCAGAAAAGGAAGAAGTTTGCGGCCACCTGGCCAGGAACAAGGACCACGCACTGCGAGCTGTCAGCCTTAGATCAAAGCTAAGCCCCTGAGGTCCCCAGCCCTCTCAGCTTCTTTTAAAACTGCTCTTGCTAACTAGCAAGGCAGAAAAGCTCTTCTGAGACAAGCTGTCCGCTCTGCCAGCCTGCTGAACAAACCTCTTTCTTCCCACCCGTTCTTGTCTTGGGGAACCCAGGCAATGGAAGCCCCCGCCCCACCACTGGTTTTCCAGTCACACAGGAACCAGAGCCCAAGCCTGGCATGGCCAGGGTGGGGTCCAGAAGAACGTGGGGCCCAGAACACGGCCTCCTGTGTCCTGTAGAAAACTCCTGACCCCCAGCTCACCTTAGCCCTGCTCTGGCACACCCCAGAGGCGGGGTCACAGGGCAGGCAGTGGAAGCCTAAGGGCTGGCCACATTTGAGGGGATGCCAGGGTGGGGGCCTCTGGGCAGAGGCCTCCAACCCCTTCCAGGTGCGACAATGGGGTGGGGATGCAGGACCAGCAAGAACCACAGTTCACCTCATTTCCCATCAATTCCTTCGGACCCAGAGGCAGAGGCCAAGATGGAGGTCGAATTCCACACCATCCTGCCTCTGCCTCCCAGCTCCCTGCTGACCCGTCGTGTCTGGTTCTGTGTCCAGCCCCAGCCATGCCACCTCATGGAGGAAAGCCCCCACGCCCTCCTGCACAGAGCAGCTCCCAGCCCATCTGTGGCCCCTCCCTCTTCCTCCTAGTCCCTGGTCCCTGCTCACTGGCTGAGCTAGCGCCACGAAGGGTTAACTCCAGCCCAAGATTTTTATCTGAGAGCTGCTGTTAAAAGCTTTTCTGTGCACCTGGTCACTGGAAACTTTCTCTGGAAGGCAAAGAATGCTTGCTTCCCCACGAGGAAAATCTAGATGGCCGGCTAGTCTCAAGACCTCTGCCCCAGGCAGGCGCTAGACCTGGCCGGCTAGTCTCAAGACCTCTGCCCCAGGCAGGCGCTAGACCTGAGCTGCCCCAGCTGACGGGCCGAGCAGCTGCCTGCAGCACTTCCTGGGGCGCAGCCTCCGAGACCAGTGCAGACGCTCCCTGCCCCACCACAAAGTTCTCTGTCAACCTTTCACTGCGTAACAACGGGTCTCTGGAAAGCAGGGGGCCACCGCCACTCTGTCTGGGCTCATGGACAGCAGGGGCCACCTAACCTCTACCCAAGAGGTGCTGAACTTCAGGAAAAATGAGTTCTCTAGAATACTGTACAGCTGTGGAGAGCGAGGGTCGCCAGCCACACACAGAGAGGCAGGTGGGTCAGGAGATGGACGGCCATGCAGAGACAGACAGGTAGGTCAAGAGACCAACAATCACACACACACACACACACAGATACACACACACAGAGACAGACACACACAGAGACAGGTGGGTCAGGAGACCAACAGCCACACACAGACAGACACAGACACACACACAGAGAGACAGGTAGGTCAGAAGACCAACAATCACACACACACAGATACACACACACAGCCAGATACAGACACACACAGAGACAGGTGGGTCAGGAGACCAACAGCCACACAGTCACACACACACACAGAGACAGACACACAGAGACAGGTGAGTAAGGAGACCAACAGACACACAGACACAGACACACATGGGGACAGGTGGGTCAGGAGACCAACAGCCACACAGCCACACAGACACACACACACACACACGGACAGGTGGGTTAGGAGACCAACAGCCACACAGCACCACACACACACACACACACACAGACAGGTAGGTCAGGAGACCAATAGCCACACAGACACACACACACAGAGACAGGTGGGTCAGGAGACCAACAGTCACACACAGACACATAGACAGACACAGAGACACACACACAGAGACAGGTAGGTCAGGAGACCAACAATCACATACACACAGATACACACACACAGCCAGATACAGACACACACAGAGACAGGTGGGTCAGGAGACCAATAGACACACACATACACAGATATATACAGCCAGATACAGACACACACAGAGACAGGTGGGTTAGAAGACCAATAGACACACACACACAGATGCGCACACACACAGACTTAGACACACAGAGATAGGTGGGTCAGGAAACCAACAGCCACACACACACAGATACACACACAGACACACACACAGAGATAGGTGGGTCAGGAAACCAACAGCCACACAGCACCACACACACACACGGGGACAGGTGGGTCAGGAGACCAACAGCCACACACAGATACACACACAGAGACAGGTGGGTCAGGAGACCAATAGCCACACACAGATACACACACAGGCACACACACAGAGACAGGTGGGTCAGGAGACCAACAGCCACACAGTCACACACACACAGACACAGACACACACACGGGTATAGGTGGGTCAGGAGACCAACAGACACATAGCCACACACACACAGCCACACACACACAGACACACGGACAGGTGGGTCAGGAGACCAACAGACACAAACACACAGACACAGACACACAGAGACAGGTGGGTTAAGAGACCAACAGCCACACACACACACACACACACACACAGAGACAGGTAGGTCAGGAGACCAATAGCCACACAGACACACACACACAGAGACAGGTGGGTCAGGAGACCAACAGCCACACAGACACACACACACATACTCACACAGACACACACACACAGAGACAGGTGAGTAAGGAGACCAACAGACACACACACACACACACACACGGGGACAGGTGGGTCAGGAGACCAACAGCCACACAGACACACACACACAGAGACAGGTGGGTCAGGAGACCAACAGCCACACAGACACACACACACACACAGACACTCACACAGACAGACACACACAGACAGGTGAGTAAGGAGACCAACAGACATACACACACACACGGGGACAGGTGGGTCAGGAGACCAATAGCCACACACACACAGAGGCTGGTGGGTTGGGAGGTACACTGCTTCCACCACCTCAACCCAGGAAAACAGGCGTAGCCAGAGCTGGCGTCTCCAGCGCTCACAGCTGCAGCTCAGGATGGGTGGCACCGAGCCCTGAGTATGGTAATAAGAAGCACGTAGGCTTGCGTGGGTCTGTTAGGGTTTCGTTCTCAGCAGCACAGGATGCAGCCCATGTCCATCTGTGGGCACAGTGGTCAGCCGCTGGGTCTAACACACACACAGGCACTGCAACAGGACCATGCTTCGAGAAGGTATCACGTTGAGGGTGTCACCTCTGGGCAGGTGGGTGGGAGAGGCGGAAGAGTCAGGGGCTGGCTGGAGGTCCTGGGCAGCAGTCCCGGGGCTGGCCCCTGACATCCACTACCCGCCCTGGGCGCTGTGTCCAGGAGACCAACCCCACAGACCACATTGCCTCGCCTCATCCTCTGGCCTCCCTGTGCTCAGGCCTCGGAGCTCCGGGGAGCCTCCTGAAGCCCCTACATCACGTGACACAGCCGGCCTTTTCTGTGGACCAAGTAACCTTGGAAGTTGTTTTAGAAGTACCTGGGCTTCCGAACTGCTCGGCAGTGCCACCATCGTCGCAGCATCTGCGAGAGAAGACAGGAGTCAAGGTGGGTCCGGGGCTGGGGCCGTCCACCTACCTTCTCCCCCAGAGACCCTGCATGCCCCAGCGAGCCCGTCAGGAGACAACGGCAAGGCGGGCACAGCCAGTTCTGGGCAGCTCGCCTGGCCGAGGGCTGACGATCCTCCCCGAAGCCCCAGGCACCAGGCCCGCTCCCCGGTCACCGAGGGAGTGAGGGCGGGGGGACAGCCGACAGGGCACTGTGGGGGAGCTTAGAGGAAGGAGAGGCTGAAGAACAGGAAGAGGAGGTGGTGGCTCCGTGACCTCAGCTGTGCAGCCAAGACCTCAGGTCTGAAGCAGACGCCCCAACCCACGTGTGCCCTAAGTCGCAGCAGTCAGTGGAGAGAGCCAGGCTCCAAGTGGATGACATATACTACTCAGTGGGGAAGGGCCCAGCCCCACAGCCTCTCCGGAGAACCAGAGACCCAGGCTGAGGCACGGGGGAAGCCGGCTCCCTGTGCTCCATTTCCTGGACCTGGCACCGAGTGAGGCCATGCAGTGGGGTGGGGTCCTACATGTGCTGCTGCGGTGACCAGGTCATGACCCCAGAGGCGGGTGTCTCTGCACCCACCTCACAGAAGGGAGCCCAGGGCCCAGCACCGTCAACTCCTGTGCCCCAGAGTGACTCGGAACCTGTGCTAACGGCTGTGTTTCTCCCTCGGCCCTCCTAGGACGCCAAGCAGACACAGACCCTCCACCCCTTACTCCTACAGCCTCCTGAATTACGCGACTAGAACTATTAGGATGCGAACTCCAACTGCTTTAAGTTTTCTGCAAGGAAGTGAGATAAAAACAACAACACATGCCATTGTCTGCTGTCCACAACTATTTTCGAAATGCTATCAACCACCAGGAAGATTGCCAAAGATAAAGGGAGTTGTGCAGCCCATTAAGATAATGGAAAACATCCCCTGCAGCGTGGGGTGGGGGCGAGGAAGGGGTGAGGGAGGGAGTCCAGGGAGGCCAGATCGGCCCCAGCAACCGGAAGGAGAAATCAGATGGGGACAGAGGCGCTGCCTGCAGGAGACCAGGGCCTGAGCTGTGTGATGGGCAGGGAGGTGACCAAGGGTCAGCTAGCTCTCCAGAGCTCATCCAGCAGACAGCTTCCCAGCTGGAATAATTTAATGCTGTGTCCACGGTTTAACAGTCTGGGGGCCGGCACTGTGGCACAGAGAGTAAAGCCACGGCCTGTGATGCCAGCATTCCATGTGGGCACCGAGCTGAGTCCAGACTGCTCCACTTCCACTCCAGGTCTCTGCTAAGGCCTGGCAAAGCAGCGGAAAATGACCCAGGTGTTTGGGCTCCTGTACCCACATGGGACACCCAGAAGAAGCCCCTGGATTTGCCTGGCTTAGTCTTGGCCGCTGTAGCCACTTGGGGAGTGAACCAGTAGATGGAAGATTCTCTCTCTCTCTTAAATAAATAAATAAATAAATAAATCTTTTTAAAAAAATCTGTATACCAACAAAGAGTTGTGCCAAAATCAAGTGTTCAAGACTCTGATTATATTCTTCTTCTTCTTCTTCTTCTTCTTTTTTTTTTTTTTTTTTTGACAGGCAGAGTAGACAGTGAGAGAGAGAGAGACAGAGAGAGAAAGGTCTTCCTTTTGCCGTTGGTTCACCCTCCAATGGCCGCTGCGGCCGGCACACCGCGCTGATCCGATGGCAGGAGCCAGGTGCTTCTCCTGGTCTCCCATGGGGTGCAGGGCCCAAGCACTTGGGCCATCCTCCACTGCACTCCCTGGCCACAGCAGAGAGCTGGCCTGGAAGAGGGGCAACCGGGACAGAATCCAGCGCCCCGACCAGGACTAGAACCCGGTGTGCCGGCGCCGCAAGGTAGAGGATTAGCCTAGTGAGCCGCGGCGCCGGCCTTTGATTATATTCTAAGTGGAAAGGACCTGGGGAGTCTGCGCTCAGAACTCCTCGTAGTCTCACGAGCACCCGGGGCCACATCCGCATGCTGCCTCACAGAAGCTGGGGCCATGATTCCTCCTTAGAGAAGAGGAAACTGGGGTACAGGTGGATTAGAAACTGCCCCCAACGGGCCAGCACTGTGGTGAAGTGGCTAAGCCGCTGCCATGACACAGGCATCCCACGTGGAGCGCCGGGATCCCAGCTGCTCGGCTTCACAGGCAGCTGACGCCCCAAGTCCTTTGGCCCCTGCCTCACGCTTGATCCCATCCTGGTGGAGTCCTGCTGTGGCGGCCAGTTGAGGAGTAACCCAGTGGACGGAAGAGCTCTGTCACCCCACCTTCCAAACAAAAATAGACCACACAGACAAAAAACAGAGGAGCCGGGTCCCCACAGAGCCCAGCCAGGTGCCCACGTGCAGGGTCCTCATCAGTCCCCAGGGAGCAGCCCAGGCGGCCCTCATGGAGCGGCTGTGATCCGTGACCTGTGGGGCCCCAGGAGGCCATGCAAACTGTGTCCTGCTTATTTTAAACTTTTCAAGGCAGGCATTTGGCCTAGGGGTTAGGCTGCCCTTCAGACCACCGGTCTCCCATACTGGAGAGGCAGCGGTGACACAAGGGCTCCTGCCACCCCCGTGGGAGACCCAGAGCTTTGGTCTGGTCCAGCCCAGGCTGTTGCAGGCATTTGGGGAGGGAACAGCAAATGAGATCTCTCTGTGTCTGCCTCTCGAATAACATAAATAAGTAAATGAATAAAAATGCTCCTGGGAGGAGAGGGGGAGGGACTCAGAAGCAGAACACGGGGGCGCAACACCCAGCCCCCACTGGCACCTCTCCTCAAGCTGTTCACGGGCGGAGACTCCCCTCCCTGCCCAGAGCAAAGGAAAGGTACTCCCGTTTCTGCTGGACAAATCATGGTGAGGGAGGCCGGTGCAGTAGCACAGCGGGTAAAGCTGCGCCTGCAGTGCCGGCATCCCATATGGGCACCGGTTCGAGACCCAGCTGCTCCTCTTCTGACCCAGCTCCCTGCTGTGGCCTGGGAAAGCAGTAGAAGACGGCCCAAGTGCTTGGGACCCTGCACCAGCATGGGAGACCTGGAAGAAGCTCCTGGCTCCTGGCTTCGGATCGGCACAGCTCTGGCCGTTGCGGCCAATTGGTGAGTGAACCAGCAGACAGAAGACCTCTCTCTCTCTCTCTCTCTCTCTGAAACTCTGACTTTCAAATAAATAAATAAATCTATTTTAAAAAATCACGATGGGGACACAGGATGCAGCCAGGCAGTTTTCCGAGCAGCAGTCTCCTATGGGACAGACTTCACCTGTCTGTGGGAGGTACCGCCCACAGAGCTGCAGAGGGGGGCTGGGAGCAAGGAGCCTGGGGGGACTGAGAGCAAGGAGCCTGGGGGGGCTGGAAGCAAGGAGCCCCTGGCCAGGTCAGGCTCTGGCCACCTGCAGTTTGTGACACCAGGTATCCTGACCTTCTGACCTCACCTGCCTTCACACGTAAGGAACAGGTGCAGACACACCTCCTAGGGTGTGGCGCCCAGAGGACGTGGTCAACAATGGGTCATGGGACCAAGGTGGCAATGGGGCAATGGGCAGGGCCAGCTCACATCGACCTGCCGGTGACTCCCTTTTAGGTGTGGCTGTGAAAGGCAACAGACGGGCAGCAGGAGAGACCTCACCCACCCGCGGAGCCAAGCATTGGCATGCCAGGCTCTCCCCAGGCCTGGACCCCGAGAGCTAAGTGCCAGCAATGCCTGCTGACCATTGGAAGAGAAGATGCTCCCGTGTGGTGGACCCACGAGTCGGCCACACTGCAAATGTGCCACCTGCAGCATCTCTCACCTCACCCAGCAGGTCTGCCTCTAGAAGGCATGCCCACACGGTCACCGCCTCCCCCTGCCCAACACCTACTGGAAACAGGGAGACAGCCACACGGGACACCTTGGTTAGCTGTGGATGGAACAAGGTGACCCCAGGCCCCCACGGAGGGGAAGCAGGGATGCTGGCAGGGGGTGGACTTGGGGGGGGCTGGGTCTCCTGCTGTCCATTTGCACTTCCTGTATCTGCAGGAGCAAGCAAACATGTAAGGCCATTGGTCATAGCCTCACCCGATGGCTCATGGGGGCGGGGTGGTCGAAGCTAACATACCAGGGTACCCAAAACGTTCGTTCACAGGAAATGGAATTAAAAGATGTTTATTTTGGGCCAAAAAAAAACTTTTGAAACCCACGGAGATGAGGGGTCTCCAAACAGGTTATGGAAAACACCAAAAAGCCACGCACAGATTTCAAATTTCTTGCACTAAAATAAACTTATCTTTACCCGCCCCCCGATTTTCCAAAGCCCCTTTGCGCACACGGAACTCTGACTCGTGAAGCAGGGCTCTCTCCCTCCAGAGTGGTGGTGACGGCACAGTGCAATGAAACACACCCAGAGAGCTTGCTCCCACGACAGGCGCTCGCACCCTACGGCCCTCAGAAGCTGCTGAGCCCAAGGGGAACCCCTGCAAGCCCGAAGCTGTGTTTGTTTAGCAAACAGGAGAGTCTCCGGGTCAAAGGGACGCAGGCGTCTGGTGTCTGTGGCCTGTCCTTCCTCCTCAGAGCTCAACAGTCCTCTGCATTTTCACACAGGCCTGATGTGTGCCCAGGGACAGCCCCATGGAGGCCGTGCAGACACCAAGTCCCTGTGCGATCCAGGAAACCCACTGGGCCCAGACGGGATGAGGAACCTGCCGAGCTCTCTGGGCTTAGCTTCAGCCCCTGGGCTGGCCAGGACCCGGGCCAACGCCCACACTGCAACTTCCCTCGCTGACCGCCCGAGCTACCTTAAGCTGGGGTGAGTGATCCTGGCCTTGGAGGTGTCCAAGCAAGAGCTGTAGCCCAAGGCATCCAGCGGCCATTGCCGGGAGCTTGTTGGACGGGGAGGGTCAGGCTTGCCCCATGCCTGCAGACCCAGAAGTTCTGGGTTGGCACCCACAGACCCTAGCGCGACAGATGCCCCCAGGCGGGAGAGCGTGAGGCCCTGGGGCTCTGGGCGGCTTTGGAAACAGACTCCTGGGTCTGACCCGGAATCTGGATGGGGAACAGGTCAGGGGCAGTGCTGAGAACTCCCAGGTATGCCCGGATTTCATGGGGTTCAAACAACCGAGGTCCGTGCACACAAGCTGAAGGACCTGGGGGACGCATGTTCACAAACAACCACCCTGAAACACGACAGACGGGGAACAGAGGGCACCTGATGCCACGTGCTGCCCACTCCACTCCTGTCACCCAGACTTCTCCCTGCCGCGGCTGGCAGGATCTTGGCCCCAAAGCCGGCCACATCCCGCTCCCCAGAGCCTGGCATGGGGAACATAAGGTCGCAGAGCGTGGCAGGGTTGCTAACGGCTGATCTTAAGGTAAAGAGACCATGTCTTAGGGTAGAGGAGCAGTGTAGCCTCCATCTGGGTTGTCTGGGCTCAGTGGAGCCCTCACACCCCACTCAGGGTAAAGGAAACAGTGCGAGATCCGAGGAGATGGAGACAGAGCCCTGCCTGCCCAGGTGCCTTGCACGTCTCCAGGGATGCCACCTGCAGGCAGCCTTCCTCCAGAACTGGGCCTCTGAGGGTCGGCGTGGAAACCCCGGCACGTCTTCCTGGAGGGGCCACAGCCCTGAAGCAGACCAACGGGGCCTGAGAGGAGTGGCCCGGCCCCTCAGCTGTGCCCACCACTCCACCAACCCAGGGACGTGACAAAGAGACAGAAAATTCCACCCCGTGTGGGCCGACAACGGTTCCTCGTGGACGTCGGAGGGTGGGGGCAGGGGCACCCCCGAGAACCCTGGAGAGTCAAAGCCTTTGCCTCCGAAAAGTGCAGAAGAGACGGACGGGGCAGGGCAGCCTGCTGGGGCGGTCACAGAACCATGCTAGCTAGGCCCAGGCAGCTGGAGAGGAAAACGCTCGCCTCTGTGAGGCAAACGCCGAGCAGAGCCGAGACTGAGCAAAGCCGGCCACAGGCCCCCACGCCACACCCATCACCCCGACTCCCGAGTTCCGGACAGAGGACACCACCAATATCATCCAAAACGTGCAGGAGCAGCTCACCCGGGCCAAGCCGGCTCTGCACGCCTCGCCCTCTCCTGGCTGCTTCCGCTGGCCTGGGTGAGCGGCGCGGGCAGCAGGACTCCCTCAGGCTGTGCAGGCGGCACCGCCCCTCACAGAGCTTGGAGCTGGGCACAAGAAGGCCGATGGCTTCCCAAGTGCAGGCAGCAGCGGGGCCAGGGCGGAGAGAGACTTCTTCCCCACACACGGGACCAAGTCAGAGGAGCAAACGGGAGCAGAGCCCGGCGCCGCACACAAGCACCTCGCCAGTGTCACTGCTGCCACCAGGGTGCAAAGGGGTCCACAACAGGTCTGCCTCTCCTGCAGCCAGGAGGCAGAGGGGCCGGCTCTGAGGGGACTCGCGGAGCAGCAGACCAAAGCCACATGGGAAGGTGCTGGCTGGGGGAGGACGCAGGAGAGGGAGATAGTCCCTCCTCGCTTTCCCCGAGGCCTCACCCCAGCTCTGGACAACAGCACTCCAGGCTCACCTGCACATGCTGCCTGAACCCCAGTGGCCCAGCACCACACCTCAGGAGTCACAGGCCCCACTTCAGCTCCCAGGAGGGGCACACGGGCCAGGACACAGCCCCAGCGCGCTGGCAGGAACAGCTTCCCGGGCCAGGGGGAACCTCGTCGGTGCTGCCTCACCTCACCACTGGGGCAGGTGCCCATCACTCCGGCTTATGGAGGCGGTCAGCATGCTCCACACACTGCCCCGGGGCAGACTGGGAAAGACAACAGGCCTGTGGGTGCTGTGCCAACAGCTGGACCGTGATGGCTTTGTGCTTGGAACTGGGGGCTGCGACATGAGTGGCACAGGAAGGCCCCAGGCCCACATGGTTGAGAGCAAGAACAGGGAGGTCTCATGGGGCCTGTGGGTGCCAGCCTCAGAGCTACAGGCAGGAGGAGGGACAGGGTGAGCTGGAAGACAGGTGACACGGGGCACCCCACGCACAAAGACTGAGGCCTGCCTGGGAGATGGTTCAGCATCAAACGTGGGCAAGGGAAACAGGTAAAATGGTGTCGTGTACGTGAACAGGGGAGCAGAGGGGCCCGGCCAATCCCTGCCCTCCCAGAGGAGCTGCAGACCCCACAGATGCCCTGGGCCCAGCCCTCGCCTGGCAGAGAGCCTGACCCACACAACTCACGTGGGACAGGAACCAGGGTCTCCCAGCGGCTGACGGCCACGGCCCACTCGGCAGATGCCACTCTCATGGGGTAAAACCGGGGATCTCCAGGCAGACGAGCGCCCCGGGTGCCTCCCTCGGTCACCTGATCACGCTCGGAACAGCACTGCATGGGGGTGCCGGGGGAGCTGCTGGCCTCAGTTACAAACAGGAGTCCCGGGGCCCGCGTTCTGGCGAGGCAGGTTAGGCTGCTGCTGTGACACCCGCATCCCACGTCAGCTGCCCCACTTCCAGTCCAGCTGCCAGCACGCCTGGAAAGGCAGCAGAAGACGGCCCGAGTGCCTGGGCCCCTGCACTCCCGTGGGAGACCCAGATGGAGCTCCAGGCCCCTGGCTTCCGCCGGGCCCAGCCATCTGGGGAGTGAACCAGTGAATGGAAGATCGACCTCTCTGTCTCTCCATCTCTCTCTGTAACTCTGCCTTTCAATTAAATAAATAAATCTAAATAAAAGAGAGGAGAAGAGGAGGCTTGTTCTGGAGAGGAGAACAAGTACCCTGCGGTGTGCTGAGATAGCATTCACCCTCTCAAGGCTGGTTCAGTTTGCCGACGCTGAGTGACTTTAAGCACTCACCGCTGAGAAGTGGGCAGGCATGGTGGTGCCGCGGGTTAGGCTGCACACTGGACACCCCCTCCCGTGATCCGCGTGCCTGCGGCGGGCCCTGGCTCCACTTCTGATGCAGCCTCCTGCTAACACACACCTTGGCAGGAGGAGGCAGTTGGTGGCTCAAGTACTTGGGTCCCTGCCGCCCATACCGCGACTGAGTTCTGTGCTCCTGGCTTCAGCAGGCGTTTGGGGAAGGAGCCAGCGGGCGGAAATCTCTCCTCGCTCCACCCCTGTTTGCCGCTCTCTGTTGCTGTGTCTTTCAAATAAGTAAACAAATAAAATGGAGCTGACGACTGAGATGTGGACATTTTCCTGATTGCTATCCACAGCAAGGAACAAAAGTGCCTCCCGGTGAATTCCTGAAGCCCGGGGACAGGTGGGGCCGGCCACCCTCGGGGAGACAGCTGAGCTGAGGGACAGCAGCTCAGCTCCAAGAGGAAGCTTGGGTAAACATTCTCCTTAATCGCTGGGAGGTAGCGAGTCACCACCCTGGCACCTTTAGGAGCCGAAGAGCTGTGGACCGAAAACGAAAGTGAGTCCCTCCTGCCCCCGGTCAGTGCCAGCAGGAAGAAAGGGTCCACGCGCCCCCCAACCCTGGGATGGAGAAGGTTCCGGAGAAGGCGGGCAGGGAACATGGCTGGACTGGTCCACACTTCAGGGAGGCAGCTGCTGCGCCGGCTGTGCGCCTCGGCTTCCCTGGAGTGGGGGTGGGCCCAGGCAGCTGCACCCAGACCTGGCCCCCTCCTGCCTGACTCTGCGGAGCCGGGGCCTCGGCTGACCCGCGGGGAGCCGGGGACAGACCCTAGCGAAGGACCCAGGGCTGCCTGCAGCCTCCCTCACTGCACCGCGAGCAGCTCGCAGGTGTCACACGGGCGGCGGACCCGGTGGGAGACGGCGACGCCCCTGCCGGCCGCAGCTCGGGGCTGTGGCTTTGTCCTGCCCGGCGCAGGGCCTTCCGTGCCGGCTCCCAGGGCTGCGGGAGCCCGGCCTTCCTCCCGCACCCAGTAAGTTTGTCCTCCCAAAGAGCGAGAGTAACGACCGCCACCTTCCGGGGGCTAAATCGCCGGTTCCCGGGGGGAGGGGGCTGGTTAACGGCGGGAAAACCAAGGCTCCCCCGCGCCGGTTCGCACGGCCCTGCGAGCCCGAGCCACGCGGTGCCTGCCAGCCTCGGCTACGGCTCCGGGCGCGGGCAGAGGCGGAGTCCAGCGCCTGCCGACCCGGCCCGCGCGCGAGCCCGGAGCCATCTCGCTCAGGCCGGGTTCCCAACCGGAGACTGCGCGGGCGGAGGTCGGCCTTCCGCGCCCCGGGACCCCCGCCCAGCCCCGCCGCGTCCCGGGAAACGCGCCCCGCCTCACCCGCAGCGCCAGGCCCCGGCCCCGCCCCGCCGCGTCCCCGGGGCCCCCCCCCCCCCCCCGCCTCGCGCCCCCGCCTCACCCGCGGCACCGGGCCCCCGCCGCGCGCCCACCGAGCCGTCTCTGCGCAGGAGGACGTCGTCCGTGTCGCGGATGCGGGCGCCCGGCGCGTCCCGCAGCCCGCGGCAGCCCTGGAAGCACACGGCCCACGCTTGCTCCTCGTTGATCGGCTGCTCGTACACCCGCAGCACCTCCCGCAGCGACAGCTCCCAGGGCTCGGGCTGCCCCGGGGCCGCCGCGCCGCCGCCAGAGCTGCCGGCAGCGGCCATGGCCGCCCCATGCTCGCCGCGAGCGCGCCGGGCCGTTCCCATGACAGCGCGCGGGGCGGGTCCCGCACGCCCGCCGCGCCCCGTTGGCCGCAGGGGGCGGGGCGGGGCTGGGGCGCAGGTGCCGGCGCGGACGCGGTAGTGACCGCGCTGTCCCGGCCGGGCAGGTGCTGGGGGACGTGGGAGGGAGCCCCCGGCGCTGCGAAGCCGCCCCCCGCGCGCTCGGCTCTGGCACGGAGAAGCGGGCGGCGGCTGCCCGCAGTGGCCTCTGCAGAGCCGGCCGGCAAGGTGACCTCGGAGATGGCTCCGGGTGGGTGACACGAGGCGGGAAGCGCGCGGTCGATGACCACTCGCAGTGCCTCGGGGCAAACAAACCGCGTGGCGTGCCGGGGACGCAGCGCACCGCACGCGGGCGCTCCTGCGCGTGGCCGCGGGTTGCCCAGGCCTCTCCTGCCCGCCGGGCAGGATCAGGGCCGCAGGACAACGAGACACAGCTGGAAGATCAGTGCCGGTAGTGATTCGCGCACAATGCAGAGCCCCGGGCTCTGGGACTGGAGGTGGGGACGCAGGTCCGAGCGGACCGGGACTGTGAGACCTGCGGTACTGCGGGCAATGGGCATGAGGCTTTACGGCCTGGTTTGCAGGGTAGAGTGGGCTGTTCCCCAGGGCCTCCGGTCACGTGATCCCCTCCCCTTTCAGTCTTGGGACAGAAGACTCATTTGCTAAAGTTTTTTTTTTTTGTTTTTTTGTTTTTTTTTTTTTTTAGGTTTATTTATTTGTTTGAAAGGCAGAGAGAGAGAGAGATCTTCCATCCTCTGGCTCACTCCAAATGGCAGCAACAGCTCGGCTGGGCCAGATGGATGCCAGGAGCCCGGAGCTCCATCCAGGTCTCCTGCGTGCTTGGGCAGTCAACTGCTCTCCCCAGGTGCATGAGCTGGGAGCTGGATGGGAAGTGGAGCAGCCAGGACTCCAGCAGCTCTCCCAAATGGGATGCCCGTGTCCCAGCCCACTTAACTCGCTGGCCACAGCACCAGGCTGGCTTGAAGGTTTTGTGGTCAGTCCCTGGGTGGCTTTCACACCTCTGCTCATGTTCCCAGACAAAAGCCGCAAGACGAACAGAGGCCCTGGTCCTTTGTGGAGGGGCTGGAGAAGGGGGGGGGCCCAGGCCAGTCCTGAATGAGGGGTGCTGGGCGCCTGGGGCTCCACTCCCTCAGATGGAGGGCCAGTGGCAGTGGCAGTGGCGTTGGCGTCGAGGCTGGCCCCCGGGCAGAGTGGCCGCAGGTGTGGGGCTGGAGGGTGCCCTGCCCTCTCCCGGTGGTTTCTGCCCTGGGAACCCGTGGGAACTTGTCGCTGAGCAGGTGCAGGAACAGGGTTCCTGCTGCCCTCCCGGGGCACCACCGTGTGTGCGTGTAGCCGGCCAGCAGGATGTCCACACAGCACGGCCAGCACCTCAGCAGGAAGCTGGTGGGGAAGAGCAGGCAGCCCCTGCAGCTCTCCCAAGGCCTCACGTGTCATTAGCGTGGCGGCTCGGGGAGGCCGCGTGATGACACACCCGGCCGGCTGCAGGGACGCTCACCTGGCAGCATGCACGCATCCCGGGGACCTCCCGGAACACCGGCCAGCAAGATTTAAAACAGGCTCTACCGAAGAGCTTCAGAAACAACACTCTCCTTTTATTTATTAAGATCTATTTATTTATCTGGAAGAGAGTTACAGAGAGAGGGAGAGAGAGAGAGAGAGAGATCTCCCATCTACTGGTTCACTCCCCAGATGGCTACACAGCCAGGGCTGGGTCAGGCCAAAGCAGGAGCTTCTTCCAGGTCTCCCACGTGGGTGCAAGGGCTGGACTGGAAGTGGAGCGGCCAGGACTCGACTGGTGCCCATATGGGATGCCGGCCTCGCAGCGGGCAGCTTGACCTGCTCTGCCACGATGCTGACCCTGAGGGTCTCCTTGCCTCTCGATACCTGAATAATTCCCTGGCCCTGGCCACAGTAAGGAAGAAGTAAGGGTTTGCTTTCAGAGGCTGAGGGAAACCCACCTGCAGGCCAGATGCCCGGCAGAGAAGGCAGTGCAGGGTGTCCTGGGGGTGGGCTTGAGCCCTGCAGATTGGCCAGCAATCACAGTCCACTAGGAAGCAGATCGGCTGGCCCGCGGCAGGGTCGCCGTGGGAGCTCGTGGTCTAGGTGTCGGTTCCACCCAGCTGGCCACTGACGTCCCTCCCATAGCCCAGCACCAGGAGTGGCCACACTTTGACTCAGAAGTTGACTCCACATTTC